TTGGAGTCTTGGAGTGACATGGGGAAGTCACATGTCCATGCATGACTCAGAACTTACAGGTAGCAGCCATGGTTCACATGCTACCTTGACTGTCCTCAAGTAGTCTTCTCATGTGGATTTCAGCATTCCAAGATCCATTGTCCGTTAAGTGCTTCTTGATTGGGCACTTAACTTGCATATTCTTTTCTCAATAAGTTGACCAAATGCCTTACTGAGGCTATTCAAAAATCAAGCAAGTATATAGCCAATATTCATAACTTTGAATACAAAAATGATTACATGCATACAAATAGGATGAATAGATTCAGTAGATCATAACCTTTGCAGAGATATGTTACATGGCATGCGTAGCATAAAACATATTCCAGTTATGTCATATATACATCCATAAGCATATTTCCATAAAGCCTTAGGGGTGCACCGTCACAGGTGGGAAAAACAAAGATGATGAAAGAAGTGAAGATATGTTCTGAAAGATCAAAGAATGCTGTTTTGTGAATGCAAACTAATGAAAATGTTGATAAATTTAAAATGTTGGTTGCACAAGTTCAGATTGCCAGTTGCCAAAAAACTGAAGATGACACTAATCTTGTCAAAAATTTTACCAGCCTATTTTAAATTAAAATAGGATTTCCTTCAACATCAGGCATGCATGTATATTTGCTCCACCTCTTTTTTGTCGTGAGCAAACCCATTTATTGTGGCTAATATAGATAAAATTCTGTTCACTATTTATTTTTGAGTTGAGTATCATTCATGGATGTTGACAGGCAATGACATATTGTTCCATATTTATGTCCCTAAGAGAGTGTAATATTGCAAAGCACTGATCCTCAAAATATGTTCTATGGGCACATTCAGAAGAGAGTGTGAATGCTGTAGGAAAAGTGAAGGAGTGGGTTATAGAAGGGGATGTGGTTCAGCAGAGGATCTCTCTTTTTTGTAAGTTGTTCCACAGAATGAAAAAGTTAAGTTACTGGCCTAAAATAAATTGAGGCATCTATTTATTTTCTGTATTAGTGATTACATCATTTGAAAGTTAAAATTGATTTTTCTTTATATTGGAAGTGTGGATCATTTAGCTTCAGAGTTATTACCTTGTAAACAAGTTGCAGATGCACCCTCAAATTATGTTAGTCAAAGAAGTAGGCAGCATAAAGACTACATCACATACTGGATGCATAGATCCTGATTCTCAGCTGCACCCAAGGGGTATACAACACAACTTGTGGGGGAAAGAGAGGTGCAAAGGTGGCTTCATGGCACCTTTGTACTCCCCCATTCCTAAACTGACTGTATTGGGCTGGTTCCCTGGAGTGAGTTAGAGCAGACTACATGCTGTTCTAATTTACACTAGCTGGCAATAGCCCCATGCTGTCATCATGGCAGTCAAGGATTGCTGAACTGCAGGGAAGACCCAGTCATGCCCCCTTTCCCCAGCTATGTCCCTTACACTGACAGTCACGAATATGGATAGTATATGAGCAGTTAGACCAGTTCTACAGCAACAAAGCATCCATTGCACTGGGGTGATCCTCTTGCAGGTGGCTATGTGGCTTTAGGATTGCTTTGGACAGTGGAGCAGCAAAATAGCAGCCCTAACACAGACAAGAATCTGGGGCACATTCTGTTCCTCAATAAAGAGCAAAATTATCTATTTAAACTCTCTTGGTTGTTCTTTTCAGCTTGACCCAAGATATTGACTAGAGAAATGTAAAAATCCCATCTGGTCAACTCTTCTATCTTACTTCAGAAAACATTATGTACTTGCTCAGATACCATACCATCCTCAGTTAACATTTATAGTACCTGAGACTGGTCAGTGTGAATTCTCCAAAAACAATAGATACGCACCTTAAGCAGCATCATAGATCCATCAAAATTAGGCTATTAGGCCCCACTCTAAATATTTTATCTTTGCTCAGGAAGTTTTATCATTGACTTTAATGAGGCCAGAATTTCACCCTCCGAATTGACAGGTATCTGAGGTTGTAAACAGTGTTCGTATCCTGTCCAGTCATTTAGCCACACTGTACATATTTAGGGCCCAGTCATGCAGGAAAGGCAGTAGATACTGAAGATGTTTAGCATGCTGCAGGATTGTCTACTTGGCTCTTATTTTTTCCTCATGCCCTTTCCTCCATCCACTCAGTCATTTTTCTTTAAATGATTTCTCTCCAATTATGTCAACCTTCATCTGCTGCTGTGGTGCCTAGAACTGTTGCAGCATTCTAATGTAGGTGCTGTCTCACCAGTGCCATTTAGAGAGAGGGGCTATCACTTCACTGTTCTGGGATGTGACGCCTCTGTGTAAGCAAACTAAAATCACATTAGCTTCTCTTTGTGCCCATATAGCAATGCAAGTTCATATCACTTTTGCTTTCTGCAATTCCCTAGGCCCCTTTTCAACATTGCTGCTTTCCAAGTCTCTCTCTCCCATTTAATATCTTCCTTCAGATTTTTATTCCTCTGTTCTGTTAGGTTGCATTTTCCAGTCTGATTTTATTTCTTGCCGATATTTCTAACAACTTCAAGGTATCTCTTATTATTTCTGTCTTCTTTGATATTTGCAACACTTCCCTAGTTAGTATCATCTGTGAATTTAATTATTGTGCTGTTTATCTTTTCTTCCAGATAAATGAGACCAGGTTCTGATCTCATGTATACTAGTTTTACACAAACTTAATTGAAGTTTCACCTGATTTACAGTGGTCAGTGAGATCAGAATTGGAGTTATCATGCTTGGGTGTTTGTGTGAACACCCACAAATGTATAGTGACCTGGATGTTTGTTTTCAGATGATTACTTATTCCTACTGAAAAACTGTCCTAGTATTGAGCTAATTCATTGTCTAACTCAAGAGTGGAATGAGAAACCAGCATTATTATCCATTGGGGCTACGATCCTCTCACTCATTGATGCTGATCACAAAGAGCATGGTTTACAACTGTTAGAGGAAATAAACATGGGTGAGAAGAGTAAGTACAGTAAGATGTAATTAACAGACATTTATAGTGAAGTTATGTAAATGTCACATTTCTCTATTTTCATTGCAGTATCTGGGAAGTTCCAAAACAATTCAATTGTAAATGACAATAAAATGAATACAAAGTTATTGAGGTCACAATCATTTAATTGTGTTAAATTTAATTCAGCTAATTTAAAAACACATAGTTAATCTTTTCCCTTTGTACCATGTGTCCATTGACATTTTCCAAAAAACAAACCCCAAATCCATAAATTATTGTGTCATTGATGCTCCTATTGTCCCTAATCTATACTGGAGAGTGATTAAAATCTCACTACTCATGGTACTCCCTTTGATATCAAAAAAGTTACTTTTGCCATCTGCTACAGCCTGCCTTGCTCAGTCCTGTGTTCAGATTAGCACTTTTGGTAGGGTCTGCTGCAAGTTCCTGTACTTTCTTCTAGAGTTAAGGACCTTTCTTGGCCATGTAATTTGGCAACTTGGCACATTTAGTTTTTCCCCTTGCAGTGATGATTACTCCCAACTGATGGCCTTATCCTACTCCCACTGAAGTCAAGAGCAAAACATCCATTAACTTTAAATAAATAAATTAAATTAAATAAATAAAAGGCAGAATTGGCCACACATTCTCCAGTCTTTCTGCTTTTCGTGGGGTTTCAGACATGATTTTCAGTGCTGTGGTAGGAGGTGCTTTTAATCTTTATAAATAAAGTAAACACTACTTTTCTGATGGATTTTTGATCAGTTATCTCTTTATTTGGTCCTTGACCTTAGAATTTATCTAACTGGAAAAAGAATTATTGATCTGTAGTCATATTATCCCCTAAGATCATACCTCTTTCTGTTCTTTGTTTAATATGAGCAAAGCAGAAACTGATTGAGGGCAAATACTGTGCCACTACATGATATTTTTTTCTTCATCAGATGCACTGGAACAAGTTATTTTAAATGATACGGTCTGTACCTTGGAAGGTTGGAAGAAGATCGCAGATACATGTGCAGAAAATAAGCATGAAAAATTGTCTCAAGAAATTCTCTCGATCCTTACCTCACAGGAAGGAGTGGTTCAGATTTCTCCATTTGATGATGATGATGATGTAAAGATAATGGAACACGTTTTCTTGTAATTCTTCTGTAAAGCAATTGGTGGAGCTCTAACAACATTCAACCTAAGCATCGTTTTAGTTGCTTCTATGAATTATAGTAAACATTTATCACTCAGAAATAGAGCTGAGACTTCTTTTTGCCATCAAACGTAAATTAGTAGCCCCTTTTAATACTTGTGTGTTAACTGGGAAGGTATTTTCATTGTAGAACAAACTTGGCCTATTTATTTAATTAATATTGTGAAAGTATGTTTATATATTTCTTTGTATTGAATAGTGCATTCACTTCTCAGTTTTTCTTTTGTTCATCTTTATGCTTCAGTCTCTTTGCTTTTTTGTGGGGAGGGAGGGAATCATCACATGAGTCCCATTGCCAATTAATACAATGTTGGGACCTCTGGAAGAAAGGAAGACAGTTGCTTCCTTGGGGCCACATTCTGCCTTCAGAGATATGGGTACA